GCTGAGAAGCACCCTGGATGACACCAGGAGTGAGATGCCGTGGGGCCGCAGCCTTCAGTGCACACGCACGAGCTTAGCCATCTCCCCTCATATGCCCAGGTCTAGCACACCACTCCCGCCCCTTGCCCCATCAGGATGAAGACACTGTCATCATCATGGGGTTCCTGTCACATGTGCTCTTCCTTGTCCTTGTCACCATTCCAAGCCTGTGATTCTGTGTGGGAGGTCACACTGTTCACACACCATCGCTCGGTGGTGAGTCACACGAGCTCTGTGTTCCTCTATGCCGTAAACTGGTGAAAACTCTATTTCTCCAGAGTTAGCATGGCACACCTTCTTCTTCATGTACTTTTTTATATCTGTTTTTATTTATTTATTTGGTAGTACTGGGGTTTGAACTTGGGGCTTTGCACGTGCCAGGCGCTCTACCACTTGAGCCACTCCTCCAGCCTTTATGTACTTTTTTATGTTTAGGGCAACAATAAAATTCAAAAGACGATTTTGAGCACCTGGCCACTGGCACTGAGCTCTTGTTCTCAGGGTGTTCACTTGCTGGGTCTTGTTGACTTGGTGACAAGGATGTAGAGGAGAGGAAATCCCCTCTGAATCCAGGAGGGCATGTCCCACTTGCCTTCCAGATGTTTCCAGGGTCTTCTGCTCGTAGTGAGGGTGACCCTTGGCCTGGCCCCACTCTCACTGTATTCCCTCTGTCCCTCCCTCCTGAGGCCTGGAAAAGATGTGTGTGGACAGTGGCCAAGGTTGATGACTGCAGCACAGAGAAGCCATGCAGACCCAGCTCACAATCTGTGCTCGTAGCTCTGTGCTTTGGTCAACTCAACACACAAGCCACTGGCTGTGGGAAAACTAGTATACAGGTCTCTAGGAGATTTTCCTAACAGATGAGACTTGTTTTGGATTTGCCACAGAGCATCCTGAGAGCAGACTACATGCAAAACACGTGCACTGACCACAAGCATCCACGGATGGACCCGAGGCGCAGCCCTTGTCAGAGAGCGCGTCCCCTCCACCTGCTTTGCCCCGTCCCAGCCCGTGAGCTGCTCACCGCACAGCCTCCATCTGGTCCCTCTCCTCCAGGGAGCCCAGCCGCTTTCTCACTTCATGCAGGAGCTTGGTTCCTTGGAAACCGCTGCCTCGGCCGTCGCACTTGACTACCACCGCTCCGTGACTGCTCACCAGCACCGTTTCCCAGGTCACCTCAAATTTCTCCGCCACACTCTGGCTCCCAGGGGTGCCATCCCTAGAAGAGACAGTCGGGGCCTCAGTGCACTGGGGGTAGGCTGTGCCTGTTCTGTGTCTGATGGCTCCTTCCTAAGGAATCTTTCCCTTTATCCTGTGCCCTGTGCTGACGCCACAGCTCAGGGGCTGCTGCCCAGGGTAGGTGAGCACCATTACCTCACACCGCTTGGGCAATGAGGAAAAATAAGTGAGCACAGCATCTGGGCCCCGTCCTATACGCAGGCACCACAAAGCCAGTCACCTTTTGGTGAGTGTTTCCTTCACGAAGAGACCCTTCTTGTTTCCCCTGGCTACAGATCTCAGGCTGCAACCCCATTGCCCATCACATGACGGCCAAGGATATGATGACTCCTGCAGCGGCACCCTGGCTTGGAGAAATTCTCTCTCTTTTGGCAAAGTTGGGAGAAACAGCACAGGGGCTGTCATGGTGACTTTCTCCCTGCGCCCCTCCTGGCTGTGCTCAGCTCTTCCCTTCCTCACTCAGTGACATCTCTAGGGGGACTTTACCCCCTGGAAAGTGGCCAGCACTACAGACAGGGCCAGTCTCCATGGAAGAAGGTGGTCAAATCTACATGGCACACAACGAATGAGGAGGGCTCTTCACTTACAACCGTGTATCAGTTAACTTGGAACTGTGTTCTGGTAGTGATGTTATCACTATATGCACATCAGAGAGTGAGCGTACACAAATAAAGATGGCTATGATGTCACTTGGTGATGTAATCTTAAGGGACCACTGTCATATATGCCTGTCAAGAACTGAAATGATAATCTCATTATAGTGTTAAAAATCACACCTAATGGTGCCGTGACAGATCCAATCATGCCCACACTAGGGAAGAAAAGAGGTGGCATTCTGATCCCTGGGCACCTGCTCCCTTCTCAGGAAAAGCTGATGACAGCATTCATGCCACTCCCTTCATAACCCCGCCTTGGTAACACCCAGGCCCAGACCTGCTTGGGGAGAAGACACCTTTAGAACAAGAGCTCCCCTGCTCCATTTGTTGCCCATCGAATGCTGTCTCCTGCTTGCTCTGAGAACTTTTTGGTTATTTGCAAATGGTACTGAGTTGGAAAAGAACCTATAGATTTGGTTACCCACTGCCTAGGTCATGTTGGCTTTCTGCCAGTAACTCAGGGGTGTAGGGAAGGTGGGTGTAGGGAAGGTGGTGTAGGGAATGGGGCAGGAAAGAGTGTGGCCTGAAACAGCTGTGTGTGAGGCCTAAAGGGTCAGTGTTATGCTATGATACTGCTCTAAGTGAAGTCTGGCTTTTATTTTCTTTTGGACTCCTTTTTTAAGTGGGCACCATCTCGTGTAGAGCCTGTGGAATCTTGAGGGTCCCCATCAAATCTCCTTGCTGTCACATTTGAAGTCATAGCTGGAAACAAGCAAGCAGAAAGGTCACTTTATGTGCTGGCCAGCGAGGCCAGGCAGCAGCCACATTGCATATGCACGTTGGTTTAGAGCTTCTCCTAAATGAACACTCCCTCCCCTTGAAGCGGCAGCACCACATCTACTTCTGAAAGGATAGGGAATGGTTTTTAAACTGAGAAGCATTTCGGGATTTCCTTTGAGATTCCTGGAGATACAGAGTACAGGGGAAGAAAGCTGCTTTTGAAGTCATTAGCATCCGTTAAAATATGAAACTCTGGCTTGGTAAGGGGAAAGGAAGCAGTGTGAGATATGTGGGTGGTGTGTACATATGTAAGTGCGTGTATGTGCGGGTGGGAGACATTGGCAAAATGTGAAGCCATCTAGGTATTAAGGGAAGGAGGTTAATTACAGAGCGGAGTAAGTTACTGGAGTCTGTCACACATCTTTGTAATGAAGCCTGTTTGTGATGAAGCCTGTGGGTTAATTGCAAAATGCACAAGGTACTGCAGTCTATGCTATGGGCTTCTTTATAAATGAAGCCTTTTTGGAACCAAGGGACTAAGCCCCTGGGTCTAGTAGGGCAGGCTATCAGGGTTAACAGGTTCCATCTGGGAGCTAGGCATTCACTCAGTGGTCATTGCCCTCATTGTCCTTAATGCAGCCCCAGTGCAGGCCTGCACTCTAGCCTGGCCCCTTCAAGACAGCCTGCTGGGGAGACAGGGTCTCCTAGAGGCCAGGGGAGTTCTGTGGGTCTCGGAGGACAGGTGGGAGGTGGACAGTGCTAACTCTCTTGGTTCAAAGTGTTTCTGGGAGGGAGAGTGCAGGCTAACCCAGCTATGCGTGGGGGTGTTGGTATTTGAAGTGTGGCATCAGAGTGCAGGTGCATGGAACCCCAGGCAGACCTGCCACCTTCCCAGAGCACTTGAGAGGTTATTCTCACAGTCTAACCTGGAGAGGGTCTGCTAGGTAACAGAAAGAATGGCTGCAATAACCCTTTGCTGACCCACAGTGTTCAGGACAGTCTCTGGGAGTCACAGGGCTCCTACAGTGAGAAGTCAGCCATCTAACATGCTTGGCAGCATGCAGGTTTGTGTCCTGGGCCATCACGAGTCTGTTTCTTGGGCTGGCCCCCTGCCTCCTGCAGGGTGCCCGTCCTACCCTTTCTAAATCCTTTGCCAGCCACCCCTGGTGTCTGACTTAAGACTCGCTGTTGTGCAAGCAGACTGTCCAGGAGTAGACTGGGAAGGGGCACAGATCCAGAACTCCCCTTCAACCTTCTGGATCTCTAGGAGTTATGAAAAGGACTTGACCTTTGCTGATGGGCTAGCCTGTTTTAAGGGTTGAGCCAGTCTAGACGGTAATTGCAAAGTAGAATACAATGCTGGAGAATGATGACAAAAAATTGGAATAAGATGATATTTGAACAATATCACTCCCACTTATCTTTCCTAAAAAGTTTGATATTCTCCTTTCATGGTGTCCCTGAGTTCCCAAGCAGATAACCAGAGACAGAAAGAGGCAGCAGTACTTACACCACCAGGAGCAAGGGGTAGTGGGCTGTGTCGGTGAAGGTGGCTGGCTTCAGGATCTGCATTGGCAAGTCTGGGGAGAGACAGGACATAGCCGAGTAAGGGACAGCTGGACAGGATAGTATACACCACAACATGCCTGAGTCATCTGTGGGGACCCTGGAGGAGGCCTGAGTGGCAAGTCCACAGAAATTGCTGGCCAGACTTTCATCTCAGACTCTGGTTTGCTGTGTGGCCTTGGGCAAGTCAACTGACCTCCGTGAGGTCTAGTTTCTGGTCTGAAGCTTAAATTCAACCTTGCATAGGGGAGCACATTGACACTGGAAGAACTGCTGGCCTGGTGCAGAGTTCCATACAGCTGGCAATGAGACCTGCAAAGGGCGACTGACCATGACTGTGTTGACATTTGGAAGCAGTGGGTTTTGGGAAATGAGAAGACAGAGGGGTGGGAGCTGAAGAAGGCTGTGGTGGGTGGTGAGAGCCACTGGGTACCTCCAGGCCAGGTGGCTCTGCCAGTCTGTGTTTGAATGTTCCATGCTGGGTAGATTTGACTGTCTGCTGGAGCCACAAGGAGAGGACCCTGGGGAAGGAGTTGGTGCAGCCCCTTTGTTCCTGCAGCCACCAAGGTCACTGGGTTTGGTCTTTAATAATGTGAGATTTAGTTCAGGTTTGGGGGGGCGGAATAAGAACCAAGCCACACCAAATTGTTCCACCAGTTTCTTTGTTCACCTTCCTGACCAAGCTAAGAATTTGTTTATTGACATTAACTACAGTCCAGATAACCAAGGGCACAGCAATTAAATTGGAATTAGTGGCTTTTCAATACAATTACTAAGCAGATACACCCCGGGCTGGATGGCCTCCTCTTACACAGCTTCTCATTACTGATGCAGGCTGAATGTTAATGGCTTGCAAATTGGATCAGTGGCCCAGGGACTGGCGGAGAGGCAGGCATTGGGCTTCATCACTTATATCCATAAAACATGGTGTGGGCTGATTCTGCCCCTGAGAAGCCAGAGGGCAGGCCTTGGGAAGCAGCTTCCTAGCTGCCACACTTCAGGGAGGCTTCCTGCAGACTGTTTGTTTTTCTGAGCAGCCTTAGCCTCAGGTAGCAGCAATGCAAAACTGAAACACAAACAAGTCTGTAGGGCCCCGTCACTCAGATTTTCTTTGATCCCAAAGGATGACTTCCCCAGGTCAGTCCTTGACATGTGGCTGCATCGTCTCCTGCCTCAGTGCCCACTTCCTTCCAAGCAGAGCGGTCCTGGGGACCACTGATGCAGGACTGGAAAGCCGGTGTTGCCAGTGGGAGTGTCCATTGCTCAACTCTGAGGGGAGGGGACAATGTTCCTATGTCAGAGCTATGGTGTTTGGAAAGGTTGTCATGGTGACAGTGGCAGGAGGAGGGGGCATCATCAGCTTCGGGGGGAGAGTAATCCTTGGGAGAAGGCAGCCTGGCTTCTGGCTGCATGGACTGAGGGGCAAGGATGCCGAAAGACAGCACACGAGGACAAGGACACCATATCCCATGGCATAAGCACGTTGCTTGGCCAAAGCAAATTGCTACAACCTTCACTCATGGTTTTCTTAAGTTTATTTCTTCTTCCTCCTCAAAAACCCTCTTCATTTCCTTCTCTGTTCCTTTCCTCAGAGCAGCGACATGGGGGCGCTCTAAAAGAGGAAGCCCCTTGGCTTGTGGTCGGGGAGGACTTAGGAATCTTATTCCCAGATGTCTCTGACTTCCAGAGGTGGCTATATGTCCCCACGGGGCAATACATCATTTCTGGCCATGTTCAGACAAGTTCCAATAGAGTGTGATTTCACAGACCCAAATGAGGGACTGGACTGGGGTGTTTTTTAGTGAGTGGGCTGGGGGTACTGCAGAGGTGGTTGGTGAGGCCCTGGTCACACCCCGGGAACCCTGTGGGCTGGTAGTCCAATATGCTTCTTCTTGCCTCAGCCTCTCCTCTGGATAGTGCTCTGACCTTTCCTGTGCCAACCTAAAGCCCACTGTAGGATCCCCTTTAAGTCCCACAGTCCAGGGAACCTTCCCGTGTGACCTGGTCTGTCCTCTGAACACTGCCATTTGCTTTCTGTTCTGAATGAAAAACTTCGAAGTCTGCACTGTTGGCTGGCTGCTTGTTTCACAGGGGGGTGTGTGTGAGTGGGGGGGGGTGTTGGTTCCTGCTTTTCAGAGTACATGGTTTACAAGGTGGCCGTGTCTTCTCCAAACTGCCAAGCATAAAGGTATCTGCTAACACTCCGGGGCTCAGCAACCAGTGACAAGCCACAGTCCTCCTCAATGTTCAGGGCAGCCACAGGCCTTCCAGAGATGCTCAGGCAAGCCATGCTGCTCTGCCTTGCCCTTCAGGGCAGTCTCGATGCTCTTCCACTGAGCCTGACCACCTTCTCCTTCTCTCCAGCAAAAACTCTGGCAGTGACTGTGGGTCAGGCAGAGATTGCCCGAGGGGAGGCCTACAGACCACCTCCTGGGATCTGAATGAGGGGCTCAAGACAATTTATTTAGCACCAACCATAGACGAAAAGGCTGCCCTTGATAGGCAGGCACCTCTGAGCCTGAGGGACACCAGAGTCCCGGGAAAGGCAGTGAGGTCTGCCGTGGGCCTTTTACATGGGGTGAGTGCCAGAGAACTCCAGAGCTGACTGGGTCGAACTGCACGGGGCTGGGTGGTGAGGCTATGAGAACTCTCCCATGGGAGCTGAGAGCCTGTTTCCAGCTAGCACTCAAGGATCTCATGTCTGCTGCAGAGACAGTACTCATGCAGACGTAGAAAGCGGCCCAGTAAGCAGATGGAAAGCTGAAGATGGGTGAGTGACAGGACTCTCAGGTTGTAACAGTTCACACAACCTCAATCCCACATTTCTCCCCATCTGCCCAGTCAGCGTCTGAGGCAGGGGGCTGAGGTCATGAAGACATGAGACAGAAGAGGATCTCCCCAAAGGAGGGTGTTTACCCAGGATGGCTCTGTGTCTTGTTTGTCAGAAGACCCCCATTGGCCTCTGGAGGGCAGAGATCACGGGCTCCGCTTGGCCTTTGTTTGTCACCACAATGGGCATCTTGGTTGTGGACGCAGGGAGCTGGATGCAGGATGGTGGTCAGGCAGGGAGGTGCATGAGTGTGACCAGGGTCCCCTGTGCTTAGTGGCCAATGGCTGCTGTATGGCTGTGTAAGAGCAGATGCTGTGCTGTTCTTTTACAGGGAAGACAAGGAGCACTTACTATAGTCATCGATCTCAATTTTTTTGTATTCGATCTTCGGCATCTGCCGGTCACTAATGGCCTTCTGTACATGGTCGTTGGTTTCCAGGTCAAAGATCTCTGAAGGGGAGAAAACAAAAACACCTTGAGATTCTGTGATCCTTTGCTGAATACCTACATGGGAAGAGGGTTCTCATGAGAATCACATACTGCTCCCAATGCCAGCCCCGGAGACAGTCCGTGTCATTCCTATTGTGTGCACCCCAAATTTAGGCATGAAACAATTCACTCAAGTTAGGTCTCAAATCAGGAACTTAGCCTGATGAGAGAGACTCCCCAGTCAATCAGCCACCTGGTCTTCTCTCTTCTGTTCCTTTTTTTCTGTATGGCATTTTCCCACTTACATGTATAGGCTTTAGTAAGGTTCTTCTCAGGATGGTTGGTTTTAGGACAACTCTTAGGACAAATGCAGTGGCCAAAATAACCGGGGAAGGAAAGGAGATACTGATGTGTTATGTTTATTAATTCACCACCCCAAAGGATGTGTATTTCTTACCTAAATCCAAGGTTGGAAACCTTAACTTGGTGATTGTATGCGTATACAGTAAAGTCCCTCAAAAGTGATAATTTACACACAGTGGGACTGGCCCTTCTCTCTTGTGTTAGGGAGAGTCAGGGTGAGTCTGCACCAGGCTTAGCTGCTTGGGCCTCTGTTCCTCAGGTTGTAGCACACACATGCTTTCCTTATGAAATTTCTCCAGTTGGAAGGAAATCCCCCTCATCAGCCCACATTACTAACTTACTGAAATGACCATTCTACTTTGTTTTACCACCTAATATGCAAAATTCTGGGCGGCCTCTGCAGAAATTTCATCTTAAGGGACTGCTTTTGGCTGGTCACCTCCCTCAGAGAACTAGAGTTGGTGACTGTTTTAAAGAGTAAAGCAACGTCGTGGCTTTACAGTGAACACGGTGTCACAGAGCACTCCCCCGGGGACACCCTTTAGAGGGAAGCTCCTCTACAGGTGTTTGTTTCTCGGAGGCAGCTGGAGGTGAGCTTACGACTTATTACAAAGAAACTTTGGCGGTGAAGGTTTTATCTGAGGAGCACAGCACCTGACTCCAGGTTCCTCCCCATTAATAGGAACAGGAACGGCACACTTGTGGAGAGAGATGAGGGAGCAAGGTTCCCATGCTTGTGATGAGCTGATAAGCAACAGAAAATGACTTGCAGGTTGCTGGACACACATACAAACATTAAGTTTTGATGAAAAGGGGAGGGGAGAAGTGGAAAGCTAGTTTTCCAGTAGGTAGAGTTTAAACAAACCCAAAGTTGGACCACCAGTTTGAGATTCTGAAGACCACATAGCAGTGGTCTTTCTTGTAGATGACAAGAAGGGACATTGTGTCTGTGCGGTTTGGGGCCTGGGCTGGAACAGCCTAAAGGAAGTCTGAGTAGACTGGACCTCCACTCTGACAGCTGGTGGTTTGGCTGGAGTCATCTGCACAGGTGAGTGAGGGCACTGTATGGGGGCCGGCTTATGTATACTCAACCTGCTTCACACCCCACAGTCCTGAGAGATCTGGGCTCTCACGTTGCTGAGCCAAATGCCCTCGGACCTTTAAAGCAACAGTTAGCACCGTGAGCATCTGTGAAGAAGGGCTGGCTTATGAGGCTTCCCTTACCATCCCTGTTCTAGTCACATTTATAGGGCAGAAGCCTAGGCAGGAGCACCTCAGGTCAATGAAAAGAATAGTGTTTTCCAAGTTCTTTGCTGCCTCAGGGCATTGGCCCTTGCCTCTCTCTATACTTGGAACCTACATTGCTGGCTCTTCTTCTCCACTAAGTTAAGTGTCACCTCCTCAAAAGAAGCTCCTCAAAGTCCTCCCTGCCTCAGGGACCCTGCCAACCTCTCCAGATACACTTAACCCCAAATGAAAGAGTTCTGGCTGTTTGCTGGCTGCACCCTGCCTCTAAGCCCCTGACAATCAGTGTTCAGTCCCATTCAGAGTCAAAATTCACTGGTGTCCAGTAACTGGGAGGGTCTGTTTGTGGAAACCCAGTTGTACCCTGGAAATTAAGTGTCTTGGTAGATGAGATGGGTTCCCACCCAAGTCTTTTTTCCTCTTCCCCACGTGGCCCTTTTGTAATGACCCCAAGAAGGTCTTAAAGAAACTAAACAGGACTGAGAGATCCTCCAGGTGTCTCAGAAAGCCCAGGGCTCATGGAGGTTCCCAGAATTCTGTCAGTCTGAGTGGCAAGAGTTGAAGAAATTGAGGCTGACTTCTAATCCCTGCTCCACACACACAGCAGAGAGACACACATGAAGCAAATGCCTGTCAAGTTGATGGAGGAATTCCTGCTGCTTCAAAGACTGAGAACTTCCATGAGTTGATGTGCAATTAATACTGGGTTTAGGAGCCAGTCCACTGATACATCTGTACTTGAGCCTGCTGTAGGAGACCAATGCATGGTCCTTATGTGGTCATGTTGAAGCCATAGACCACTGGAGCTCCACGGTGCCCCTGGGACAACCTGCAATCTTAACCACTGCGCCTACCTATGTGGTTAGCCAGGTGGATGGCAGGTAAGGAATAGGGGTGTGTGAATGGGGGTCAACTGTAAAAATGGGAACTCATGGAGTTCAGTGCAATTAGCAAAGGCAGAGCAAAGATGATGCTGTCAGTCAGCTTTTGCCTCTGCAGCCTGCAAAGGTTTCAGCTGGGCTGTGTGCAGGTAGCAAGAGCTGCTTCGAATTACTAAACCTCAAAGTGAATTGGGCCAGACACATTTCACTGAAATACTCACTTCTCTCCTTATGGATGCACTTGAATTAGCTCTGCTTCCAGCACCACTCTGCATCTCAGATGCTGATGAAGAAGGAGAGATTTCTAAGCCAAGCACAAGGTTGTTTAGCTGTCTACAGAGTCAGGTTGCCCAGAGCTAACGAGGACACAGCCGTGCCATCAAACACCACGTTAACAATTGCTGGACCGGGGAGTTCTGGCTTTGTGTGGGGCTCAGGGTGTTCTACTTGCTGGCTGACTACATGGGGGGCCCCCTCCTCCTGATTGAAATCCCACCCTTCACAGAGAAGCACCAAAGCCACAGACTATTAAATTTAGTTAAATATTAGATTTCTCATTTAATGATTGCCCACACAACCAGTTTTATCAGCAGAGAGCTGACGGTCTCACAGGGGACTTGAGTTAAGTCATTTTATTTGTTCCCATAATTGCATTCAAAGAGGGCAGGAGCTCAGCAGAGAAATAAGAAAAGGCTGGCGTATCCCGGAGGACCCTGCCTTTGAATTTGGGGCAGTGGGGACCTCCAGTCTGGAGCATACACATGCCCACTCCTTAATTAAATGTGAGCCCCTCTAATATTTGGTGGAATTAGCTATTATCAGATCTGGACACAGTGAGCCCACAGAGACAAATGCCTGCTCCCTCGCTGTGCGGCCCATGGGCTGTTCTGAGACCCTCTTTTAAACGGCCCTAGGGCTTGAAGGATTGCCAAAATCAACAATATGTCAAATTTTGGAAAAACCAGCAGGTGAGTGACCAAAAGGGGAGAGGAGCAATTTATTTCTTGTTCTACAAGCAATGAAACTGCAGGACGTTGCATGGGACTGAGATTTACACATGGGCCCCTCAGCTTCTCCCTGTTGCCCTGGTCCGACCTCTCTTGCCCAGGCTGGGGAGTTCCGTGTCTTTCTCCTGCTGTTTTCCCAAGACATCATCATGTACCTGCTTTTCCTCTGTCACATATGACAGCAGAAGCTGTCTGCCCACCCCAAAGCTGTGCCACTCAGTTTACTGAGACCAGATCCAGGTCCCACGCCCGTGTTACACTTTTCAGACTAGCCCACCTCAGCTGGATCTAATTGCTGGAATGAGTGTGAGAGGGTGCAGGTAGCAGTTGTTCTGTTTGCCACATTGTAGCAGGGCGGAGGATCAGAGGAAAACAGTCTAGGCCTGAGTCCTGAGAAAGCAGCAGGGAGGTAGGGATGGCATAGCAGAGAGATAAAACCTGAGAAATCTGAACACGAGGAAGGTCACATAGCACCACGGAGGGGAAAGTCACGTAGCACCAGGGTAAAGTAGCCAATAAAATTAAATATAACCATATATGGATCAGACCTTGCTTTTTGCTTCTGTAACCTGCTTGCAAGGGTATAGAAGGTGAGACCCCTCTGTTCTCAGGGCTCAGCCTTTGGACATGAGGCCACTAAGTCTGTGCTGGCACAATAAAATGTTGCTTCCTGCTAATTGCCTCAAGAGTCCCGCATCTCAGCTAGCAAACTCCCGCAACAATATTTTATCTCTTTGATACTCTGGGCAAATTTTAAACCCCTCGAAGGCCGGATGCAGCTAAGTGGTATCTATCTTTGGTTCCTCTTGCATTGTGTTGGGTATATAATCGACATTTGATTCTGGAATTGTGCAGTGAGGGACTGACGTATGTGTCCCCACACACAGGGTCACTACATTCCCACTGAGTGTGAGCTGGGGCTCTCCTCTGGCTTCCCTGGTAGAGAGGAAGAGCACTGCACATGTCCTGAAGGGTGTGGGAACCATGCTTCCGGCTTATTCGTCATGGGTGTTAGCCGTGTACGTGCCTGCTTGCCCACCAAAGATGCTGCCTGAGTTCTAAAATGTAGCCACCTCAAACTTGATCATCACCCCTCCCGGAAGGCCCCTGAGCATCAAAAGACTCTTCACAGGTACACAGACATGGGTGGGGGGAGGCTCAAGGAGCTCTGTCCTCAGCCTCCATGTCCACGTGTCTGCTGGCTAATGGACTACTGAGAAGAATTGTGTCTGGGATGAGCTCCAGGCTTTCTCATACACCTTTTATAATGGTCCTACACACTTCATGCAGGACACCTGTCCTGGTGCCTCATGCCCACAGATGGGTTCCACACACAGGACTTGGGACCACTGAGGCTGGGTTGACTAAGAGAAGCCCGGGGGATGGGCAAGGAGCCTCTGGCAACACAACCGGCTCGTGGTCCTTTGATTTTAGCTAAACTGTGGGGCATGTAACTGAGCTGGAAATGGATAGGTCACTAAGAGCCATCCTCACCAGTGGACAGGTTACCATGTTTTGGCATTTA